TTTGTTCAAAAAAGTTCAGAAAATAACACATTTGATAGCAGTAGGTGGGTGATGGGAGGTATATGTACAAGTCTATCATATGATAATAGAGGGTGGGGCCATGGTATATGCATAAGTCTATCATATGCTAATGGAGGGAAGGCATGGTATATGTACAAGTACATCATATGATAACAGAGGGGTAAGGCATGGTATAAGTACAGCATTTGATGATGGAGTTCAGGAGAATATAGAATATGAATAAGTACAGCATATGATAACAATATCATGAAGGATAGGAGAGGAGAACTGGAAAGATACTGTTGCAAGGCCCTGTGCCTGGGAATTGGTATACTTTCATTGGCGAGTTTAATGTAATAAGTTAAGTCTGTGTATTACCAATTCTAAAGGAAGCACTGTAAAAATAAAGAAGTATAGCAAACAAATTAACAAAAGATTATCAAATGGAAATTTTAAAAATCTCCAAGTGAGCATAGAAAGGCAGAGAGAACAAAAAACAAAACAACAAAGAACGATGAGGAATTACACACAGCCAGAGCAGTAATTATATTAAATGAAAGTGGTCGAAACACCACGATTGGGAGACAGAGATCGTTGCACTGGGTTTTTATCATCAATACACAATTGAATTATGCTTATCCAAAATGTATTTTAAATATAAATCAAAAGGCAGACAAAGGAAAAGTTGTGCTATTACTCATTAGAAAGTACAAACTGGCAAAAGCCACCATGAATGTATTAAAATAGTTAAATTTTTAAAAATTGATAATACCAAGCATGTTTGAAGACAAGGAGAATCTTGGCTCTCAGGCACTGTTCATGGCACATAAAATGATGCAACTGTTCTAGAAAGCAGTTTGATGACAATTCCTTAAAAGTCAAGCATACAGCCACAACACTGCTAGAGTTCCTAACATCATGGCTTCACTTCCCACAGTTTCTGTTAAACACTGTCAACAGTGGTCTGGAATAATATGGAAAATGAGCACTTCTTGTTCTTTGGGGGTGACTGACAGCCCTTCTGTAGACTAAGTTTACAATCACATTGTAAGTTTGGGAGGTGATTCAGTCTCCTTCCATACCCTAATGTCTGTGCCCTTCTCAGATGGCTGGAGCAGGGGTGTGGAGATATGTGAAGGGACAGGCATGGCTGTCCTCATGCCCAGATCTCTACTTGTGTGAGGAAGAGGTGACCTTTTTGTGTTTTCTTTCCTCAGGTACAACTTCTGTAGTCAAGAAACCGTGAGGGAGGATGTCCTGCTCACACTCTCTATGTGTTAGGAGGTTGCTGACATGTGACCACTAAGTACCACTGTAATAAAATCTAGTATTAAGGCAATACATTCTGTCTTCAGTGTTGATTATTTCTAGGGAAACTTCTGGATGAGATAATAAAGCCTTAAGTTCTCAGTTGTCGTGAAGAGCCATAAGTGATTGTAAACTTTTGCTGTGGCATTTGGGTTTAGGAATATCACTTAAATAATACCACCATCATGCCCTCTGTTACTATTATTAATGTGATTCTGTTCATTTAAGACAAAGCTTCAGGCTCAAAGGATCTCCCTCTTGGTAGCCCTGTGATGACAGTGATTGACTTAGTCACTTTCCCTATCACTCCCTGGTCAGGCGTCTCAGGATGACAGAAGAGCAGGAGTCAAGGATGGGACTCTGACACATGACCGCTCTTTTCTATGGTCTTGCTTCTCTGGCTGTGGTTCTCCCAGAACCTCTGCCTCTCAACCATCTATTTTCTTCCAGAAGCACAGAGACCCAGGACAGAATTCCAGAATTCCTATTACATAGTCTTGCTGGGTCCTTCTCAACCTGGCTTTCACCTAGAATGCCAATCTCGCCTCTTAGCACATTCCTTCTGAAACTCCATATTTGGGACTTATCCCCAGGGACAAATTCTTTGTTTCTTACAAAGTTTTTTTCACTTATACCTGATCTTAAGTTATACTATATAACCATGGAAACAAAAACAGTGTGGTACTATCACAAAAACATTCAAGTAGACTAACAGACTGCTATGGCCACCGAATTTTTGACAAAGATGAAAAAAAAAGTATGCATTAAGGAAAAGAGAGACTCTTCATGTGGTGCTAGGGAAACTGGATATCTGCATGTCCAAGATGGAAACCAGATTCCCGTCCCTCACCCTGCAAAAAGTCAATTCAAAATGAAGCGAAGGCCAGAAATTGCTGTGGGAAAACAATTCTATATACAGCCACAGACAAGGACTTGCTGAAAGTGACTTCAGTGGCTCAGAAAGTAATTGCGGTACTGAATACACACGGTTACATGAAATCATAACTCTGTGGTATGGTGAAGAAAGCAACAGGGGGTTTTCCACAGCTTTCCCTTGGTCTGTTATATTACCCAGCAGTGTTTGGTCAGCTTCACCATTCCTGTTTTATATACTAGTACCCAAACCCCAGGACTCTAGAGGGTTTTTCTACCCCAGTTCTTCTAGCACTATAGATAGATAGATGTCAGATAGATAGATAGATGCTAGATAGATAAATAGATAGATGTGTACATACATACACACATTCACAAAAAAGACCATGAGAGAGGCAGAGGCAGAGAGAGAGAGAGAGAGAGAGAGAGAGAGAGAGAGAAACACCTAAGGGAAACTGTAAGGAGTAAAAAGGAGTAAACATGGACTTCTCAAATTCTACCAAGTAAGAAATTAATATATATTACCTACTATGTGTATGTGATGGTTATTCTTGGTTGCCAACTTGACTACATCTGAAATTAACTAAAACCCAAATGACTGGACACACCTGTGAGGGATTTTTTTTAATTAAATCATTTGAAGTGGGAAGACCCACTTCTAATCCAGATCTTATAGGTGAGAAAATAAACCTTTAATCTGAATCTTTTGAGGTGTGAAAATCCACCTTCAATCTAGACTGCTGGCAGTATATAGAGAGGACATGGAAGAAGGAAGCTCTCTCTTTTGTCTACTTGTTCTTGCCCTCACTAGCAAGCCCATTCCTTCATTGGCATTAGACCCTACTTTTTTGGGATTTTTTGAGACATCCGGCCTTGTGGACTGAACAACAACTGGATTCTTAAACCTTCCATTCATAGGCAGTCATTATTGAGTTAGCTGGACCAAAGCCTGTATGTCATTCTAATAAACCTTGACTAATACAGATTTTGGTGCCAGAAGTGGTTCTAGAGCAACAGAAGTATAAGGATGAGTACTTTAGGTATCTAGACTAGGTTTTCCAATTTGCCAATGCCTACAGTTACCAAAGCCTCTCTCCAATTACCAAAGCCTGTCCTGGGAGCTTGGAGAATACTGAAAGGTCATGGTGTGAACTGTTTTATAACTTAAGGAGACAAATGCATGTGATTATCCTTACTCACCAATTGTGAGAGGCAACAGATTTGGATCTACATAAAACTTTTGACAATTTGTGGAAAAATAAGGAAAATGATGATGCTGGTTGGATGCTCTTAGAATCTCTGGATAAAATGACAAAGAAAAACAATGAGCTCTGTAATAAAATTAACCAACTTCTAGCATACCGGAATATGGTGATGGACAATAATGAACTCAGTGATTAAAATGACTGACTCCAGATGCACATAAACAGTGCAAAGGTTTCTAAGTGTATCCTGAAAGAGAATCTTCTCTCCAGCAGCCACAGTGCTCAAGTTGCAAGAAATCGAACCAAAGCCCTCATGATAAGGTTGGCCAAATTACAGTGACACTTCATGTCACAACCTTGAAGGGTATTAGCAGTTAATGTAAGGGCATTACTTCATAAAGAATGGAATCCTGTAATTTGGGGTAGGGATATGTGGGAGGACCCTATTGAAGCTGAGAACTTTGAACCCTCCGATACTCAAGGCTTTATCTCACTTGAGGAAGCAGTCTCTCTACTCTTCATCAGAATTTGTACTCTACCTCATCCCCTGAAATATTGCCCTTTTTGCCATTGACTGAGAAAATTAATCCTTCATTGTCAGCAAGACAATACTGATGTCCCTCAGGGCCCTCCAATAGTTGGTTCTAGACCTATAACCAGACTTAAGACACAGCAGGCTCCTAGAGAGGAGGTAGAAAGTGTAGTTCATAAGGAGGTGCACTATACTACTATGGAGCTTAATAAGGTTTTTTTTTTAATTCATCCAAGCAGAAGGCTGAGGAATATGTGTGGAAATGGACTTTAAGGGTGTGGGATAATGGTGGAAGAAATATAAAACTGGATCAGGCTGAGTTTATTGATAAGGGGCTCATGAGTGGAGATTCTAGGTTTAATATGGAAGCCCTTACAGTAAAAAAAAAAAAAAAAAAAAAAAAGATCTCAAAAGTTTGAATGGTTGGCTGAAGCATTTATCAAAAGATGGCCCACTGAAAAGGAGTTTGAGATGCCTGCTAGTCCTTGGATTAGTGTTGACGAAGGGATTTTAAGGCTCAGGGAAACTGCAATGCTAGGGTTAGGATACTGTGTAAAATCCAATCCTTCACAGTGGAAAGGCCCAGAAAACATGCCCTTCCCTCATCCTATAAGACACAAAATAGTGAGGGGGGCACCAGCACATTTGAAGAGCTTTGTTACTGCCCTTTTCCTTGTGCCAGACCTTAGGGTTGGAGATTCTGCTGCTCAGTGGACAATTTAAATGCAATGGGTTAAATTGGGATCCGAGGTAGGAAGGGCCAGCTGCGGCACTGAGTCACCAAAGGCAAGGTGATCGAAGTTATCATAATGGGAAGCATAGACAAAGTAATGTCCATAATAACTTGACCAGTAATGGTCAGCACAGGCAAAGTGAATTTTATGGTGGCATGACCTATATGGACCTTTGGTACTGGTTAATTCATCATGGTGTTTCCGGCAGGAAATAGTAATGCAGCACCTGGAAGAACCAGCTTCTGGGCTGCAGGTAGGGCTCAAAGGAAAAGTCCATAGCATTGAGAAGCTAAGACTTCTTTATCTGAGGGAGTTTTAGGGAAAGGAAAAAAAATCACACTCTCTAGATGGTTCCTTTTCTCTTTATTCTCTCATGTAGGCTCTGCATCTCTTTGTTGTTCACAGCTATATATACCCAACAGAATCTTTCATGTTGAATATAGGAGTTACATTTGAAGGTCACATTCCAGTAAATGATAAGAAGTAGAGTCATCCAGACAACTACATGCAATAAATCTCAACTTTCTAATCGGTGGGCTGCAGCTGCAAAGAAAGAACCAGTCACTTTTATCTAACTAGAGAGATAGACTTATAAAGAATTTTAAAGGAGTTGTAAAACTAAACTATTGAAGAAGATAAGGAAATCATATACTCCATCTTATATATCTGAGTGTAATAACATTTTAATCTAACATTATGTGATTAACAGTCTCATAAAATATTGGGCTCTCTCAGACTTGGAGTGTTTAGGAAGAGAGAGCTGTGTCATAAATACTTTGGTTGAACTCAGGTTTACCTTAATTCTCTTTAATATGAGCTCACTTAGGCACTTTCCAAGGTACAGTGACACTAAAAGCATTTTAAATCTTTTTTGTTTGTTTGGGTTTTGTTTTTGTTTTTGTTTTAGTTTTGTTGTTTGTTTGTTTTTTTCCGAGACAGGGTTTCTGTGTAGCTTTGCGCCTTTCCTGGGACTCACTTGGTAGCCCAGGCTGGCCTCGAACTCACAGAGATCTGCCTGGCTCTGCTTCCCAAGTGCTGGGATTAAAGGCGTGCGCCACCAATGCCCGGATGCATTTTAAATCTTAAAGTATGTTTTTCTGTCCTGTGTATAACTTTAGACCACAAAAAAGGAAATTTGCAACTCTTTCTCAGGGCTGCCAAGTCAGATTATTTTCTGTAGCCCTGGCCAGTTGGAAAATCTTTTTCTTTTGATGTAGTTGAACAAAAGCCATTTGTTCCTAAACCTCAGTAAATTACTCTCTGTCACTCACACAATTTCAAGACCCAACATAAAAACAGTTAGTTGGCTGAACCTTGAGTCTTCAAGTTACATGCCAATATCCTAAAATTGAGGTTAGGAATTTGTGCAGAGAGTCAGTCACTGTCCTATGTTATCAACCAGACCTAACAAGAGAAACTGCCAAAGCAAGTAGGTTGCTTTGCACCTTTAACCTTGGTTCAACAAACCAGATAGCTTGCTGTTGTGTCCTTGTAAACTGGACTGCTTTTCCCAGGAATAGTCTATCTTAAAAACCATCAGCAAAGCACTTGGTCTAAAGCTACTTTGAAGTTTTATCTCATCTAATAGTGTACAGCTGTCTTGGCAGCTAGGGAAATTCAACTGTTTTCCTATGTCAACCTGAGCTGTGATATAAAACAGTTCCCTGACTTGTGTATCATTACTTTGTATTTGTACTTATTCATCAAAAACTCTGTATAAGCTAACATCATTGATATCAAATGAACAATATAGCTAAAGGAGGAGTCATCTTTTAGACATTCTACAGATAGAGATCCCAATAGATTGATATGTGTTCATGAGAAAAACACACTACAATACAGGCAGTGAGGGATTTCCCACAGCTGCCAGGGAAAATTGCAATAGCACACGTGTGATTACAGACAGAAGCAAACAATATTCCAGAGTCTATAGCCTCAGGGCCTTGCCTACAATTAAGTTTCTCATCAAAGAATTTTTCTTCTGGTGGGCTGTTCTTATGTCATGGCTCTTAGCAAAATAGATAAGAAGCCTACTGCATTTCTGTTTGATCTATATAAATGGAAAAAAATCTCAATGAAAGAAAGACTATCTTTAGATCATGGCAAAAGGGAATCTTGGCCTGTGAACCAATTTCCAGACTTGAGCCAGTTTGCAGACCCAGAACCCCTCAAATGAAGGAATGGCCTGGTTCTCTTGAGGAAGGCCTTTTTACTTGAAAGTTTTACTGTTCATTGCTCCCACTCATGTCCAGGCTGTTCATGTAGATCTCATCCATTTCTC